CCGAGTCACTTAACCACTTGTTCTTCTCCCCGCCCTCGACAGCCTAACCTCTCGGTTGAAAATCAAGCAATGGCTCCGAATCCGCAAAGGTATACATACGCTCACTAGTGCGATCGTAGGCCTATCTTGTCGTCGTAACAACCTCAAGTGAAAATGATGAGAGTGGCCCTCGCATCACAGCTTATGTCATCCGGGAATAGAGGAACGTGCGTGCCCTCGATGCCTTAGCCAAGACACGTAGACAATGTGTTTTGTAAATTCCGTATAATCTTCTACATGGTATTCTACTTTCATGAATCAAACCCCCTCCTTTTGTCTCGCGGGCGTGCCTCGATCTCCTACTTGAGGGCTCCGAGTACTATCTCGGATAGGTTGCTTATGTTTGGTCCTTCGGGTTCAGTCTTCTTGGGTTGTTTGGCTCCTCTTGTCCGTTTTGAGTCGGTGGTTCCGGGGCCGTGTTCTGGTCGTGGGTCGCACCTCTATTCGGGCCTCGTCTAGTCCTCGCTTTGGTTCTTCGTAGCCAACTCCTTGGTCTCTACCGCCGATGGTCGCATTTGATCGGGCTTCGCTTCTACTCGGTGGATTACCTTTTTCAGGTTTGATTGTAGGTCCGCTTGATTGTTTGTGTGGGCTCGCCTTTGGTTTTTTTGGCTTCTAATTTGGTCTGGGTATGGGTAGTATTGTCTTTGGGCTTGCCATCGAGCGCTCCGGTTATCCTGCACCTTGGCCGGCTCGATATGTCTACCTCCTCTCGGTCTTCTACTAGCCGATCCGCATCGATCGGGCTTCACTAGTCCAAGTCTATTGTTGTATTCAGCCTCTTTTAGCTGGTGGCCCTAGTCTCCCCTCCCGCCCCATACAACACTTGCTTATACTTCTAACTTGCTCCAAGTAGCTGCTTCGGTGCTCCTTCGGGTCGGCCTACTCATGAATTAGGCCTCGCCTCCATTCTTCCCCGCCTAGACCGTCTCTCTCGCCTAGCCTCGATGCTTCGCTCCGCTAGCTACCGTCCCAACTCGCTTCCGTTCTGCTCCTTACTTCGCTAAGATAGCAGCCTTCCATCTGCATGCTTTTTTGGTCTACTTGATTGCTTGCGTGGGCTTTGGCTTCGGTTTGGTTGGATTTGGGTGGTATTGTCTTTAGTCCGGTCGCCGAGCTCTTAGCTCTCGAGGTTGATTTGCATTTGGGTACTATCCCTCGCTTGTTTTGCCTCTCGGTTGTCCCCGCCTTGGCTAGCTCAATATGTCTCGCCTCCTCTCGGTCTTCTAGCTCGCCGGTCCACATCGAATTACACTTCACCTGTACCCGGCCTCCTCTTTGTGTTCAAGCCTCTTTTATTTCAGTGGCCTTAGTCTCCTCTCCCAATCCATACAACCTTGCTCATGCTTCTGTCTCGCACCGTGCAACGCTTGCCGGTGCTCCTTTGTGTCGGCCTCCCCCTATGGCTCTCTCGCCTAGCTTGACCCTCTTTCTAGCCTCGTTGCTTCGCTACCACTAGCCGTTGTCTATCTCTTTGTCACGTGGTCTCTTCCTTTGCCCAGCCTTTATGGATAGCTCGATCCCTCTAGCCCTTTGCTTTGTGTGCCGCCGTGCGGCCAAGCCAAGCCGTCACCGTCGCTCCCGCAAGCCCTTGTTCCCGCTATGTTGTTAGGGCACAATCGAGGCCGCTTTTGGTTCTACCTACTCCCGCCGCCGGTCACGTCTACCAAGCACTTATTCGGGGTAGGCCTACTCAGCCGTTAAGGCCTCCTAGTTTCATTTTTTAGTGCTACCGCACGATCCAAACTGTGCTCTCGCCGATGCTCCTACAAAATCCTCGGTCCCGCCGCGCTATTAGGGTAGGCTCCGCCGCCCTCCCTATTCTTGGCAACGACTAGCCCAAGTGGTCGCTATCTAGGTTGAATGTTGTTTTCCGCCGTATTCACTATCGCTTTTGTACATGGTTAGGCTTTTCTCTTTTTTGCCCTCTCGCAATGATTTTGTTTACTCGTTGAGCTTTTTGTAAAGGGTATTAGCTAGTTTCTACTTGGTTTATGTTTGGTTTTTCTTGGAATCTTCGCTAGATCGATTCCTTGAGCAACCATCTAGATATAGCTCGGTTCAACTTCATGGGAGCCCGTTCCCATTTTTGTAAATCTTGTATATGTTACTCTTACCGGTTCTCTAGCTAGTTTTACTTTGATTTATACACTTATAGTTAAATAAAAAAGAAAGAGCTCTCGCAGTGCTCTCAATAGCAAATCCTAGAGTGAGAAAGAAGAGAGAGACGCTCTCCTCCTTCCATGGAGCTCTTTCCCTCTAGATCTACCTTGTTTCCTTCTAGAAAGCTTTAATCCGACTCGCTTCCATTTTCCATGGTATATTTCTTATTCCCATTCCATTTTCTCTATCCCTCTTTGTTTAAGTTACCAAAAAACTTTCTCCGCCCACTACTTTTCTCTCTCCCCGACACTCGGTTTCTTTTCTCTAATGGCAAAGAAGAAACATAAATCCATAGCCTCAACTCCTAAAGATGCTATACGGAAAAATTCCGACTACCCTATCATTGCCCTGAAGCCCCAGCCTCATCACTCCATCCTCCGAAGGAATCCACTACCCTCTCTCCCCAATCGCCCAAAACCCTAGATCGCAGAAGGTATATCCTCTCCAAATCCGCCCTTAACCAATCCCAAGCCCCAACTTTTGGTTATGTATCTATTAAGGTCGTGGATTGCTCGATGAGGATGAGTTCGATGAAGAGAAGGTGGACCATTCCGATCTAGAAGGACTACACCGGTCTCAATTCCATTTTTTCAAGACCGCACCGCTTATTTTGGATTCTAGGGAAGCCATCGATACATGCCAAAATTGCCATAGGCTATTGGCCGCATTATAATTCTCCATGTGCCCCCGGCATAAACTTGCCTCGCGTAGTCACCCCTCCCTTGTCCCCATTGCTAGAGACAATAGTAGAGGGAAACAGGGGCTCCCGAGTGTGAAGCATCTAAAGTAAGGATAGCCGTATCTCCTCCTCCTCCAGCCTAGCAAGTGGAGAGACTTGTTTGTAAGTAATCGAAACTTAGCCTCGTGTCCTAAATTGTCTCATTTTTCTCGCTATCACTCAATCAAAACAATGCATTCCGCTTAATGATGACACCAAATGTGAGTTCGGAAATCCCGCCTAGTGGGTTATGTCATGCGTAAGCCTAGGTTACCGTGCACTAAATGGAATCATTAAGGATACCTAGAAATGTTCTGCTACTCTAACAGCTCATGAATCGGGATGGTTAATCTATAAATTCCAATCAAGAAGAAAAGGTCTTGGTGCTTAACGGAGGACCCTATCTAATTTATGGGCGAGCTTTGATTTTGAGACCAATGGCCGAATATTTTGATTTCTCCAGCACTGAAATGGCCACTTTCCCCGTTTGGGTCAAGTTTCCCAACCTACCACTAAAATGCCGGTCATCTCTCTCGCTTGTCAAAGATTGTAAGTATGCTTGGCAAACTAATCCAATACGACGATTGACCGCCTCAATGGATCGTCTCTCCTATGCTCAAGTACCGGTAGAGCCGAATATTATGGAGACTCGCCTCGATTGTCACCATAGTATTACCAAACCAAGCACAACCATCTTACAACTAGTAGTGTATAAGTCTCTTCCAATACACCGTAAAAAATGCCGTATTCTTGGCCACTCCACATAAGTGTGGAAAAATCAAACTACTTAGGATTTGACTAAAGACACTACAAATGGTAGTGAAGTGTAGGCGGACAAGCCAAGTCCAATGTGTTCCAGCAAGTAGATGATTCTACCAATGCTTGCCACACCGAAGCCCAAATGTACACCGACCCTATGCTCTTTGAAGTAGCACATGCGTCCAAGGAATGGGAGACAAGTGCATAGACACAAACACTCATACAGGGGTGCTAATAAAAGGAAAACCGCACCGCTCAATTTTGATTCAGTGGAAGGAGCCACACGTTGACTCGGGCCACTTAAGCCTCGACTCAGCACATGGCCGGCAGTAGCAAAAGAGTCGAGAGTGGACCGTGTAACCAAAAGGTCGAGCCGACCATTCTTCGAAATCGTGAAGTCTGGGGAAGTTCGAATCGTGGTATGCTTATGAATATCTCTCTAGACAGAGCAGTAGACTGCTAGCAGAGGAACAGCATTTCGATAGCAGTAACCAATAGTAAACCGAGGGCTCACCGAGCCGGGGATGGTAACCGCAAGGAAGCGAATGCCCCGCTCCTCTTGTTTCCCTAGGGGCCATACCTATGGTACCCCAAATCGACATGACACACAAGTTTTCATAAAAATTGTGACAGAAAGCAAGTCGCCTCCGCAGAGTTACGCAGAGCGTAGGTGGGGGTCGGCGGGCTCACCTCTTCCGCTCAACTATGATCATTCTAATCGGAACGTCAAAGGGCTAAATAGCCCTCTAAAACAGCATGAGACAGCTTCGCTCTCATGAAGAAAAAGAATGTAGACATTTATGCCCTCGTGGAAACAAAGCTCACCTTAGCAAAACTTGCCAATATGCACGTACTTAGGCTCAAACACCGGAAATTTGCTTCTAATGCTATGGTTGTAGGTAATGCATGCATTGCTCTTTTTGGAACCCTAAAACTATTATGGTTGATGTGTTAAATGTATCTATTCAAGGTTTGAATGTTCAAATCATCGACCTTATCCAAAGAACCGCTTTTCATTCAACTTTTGTATATGGGCCGCACTCTATCATCTCTAGAAGAGGGCCATGGGAAGACCTTCATCAATGGTACTCGCACTATCCCCGGATTATTATGGGAGATTTTAACTCAATCCTCTCCTAAGCCGATAAAAATAATGGCACTCGCTCGTCTCCAATTACAAGACCTCCGATTTTCGAACTTGCCGTTCCGATCCGGGGCTTTCCGACCTTAACTACACAAGAAATCATTTCACTTGGCACAGGTGGAAGTTTGGACAAAAATTGATCGAGTTTTAGCTAGCCCCCTTCGGGCCTCCTCCCGAATTCCTACACATGTTCATTTTGAACCCCTGGGGCTTTTTCTAACCACTCTCCAATTTTTGTTTCCTTAGGCTCACACATGCAACCGGTACTTGAGCTTCAAATTTTTTAACATGTGGGCCGGCCATTCAGTACTTTCTTAAAACACTTACTGACAATTGGGCAACTAACATCGCTGGTACACCTATGTATGTCTTTTGTCGAAAGTTGAAATCCCCGAAGGCTCCCCTAAAATTGCCGAACCAACTACATTTCACCACATATCCAACAGAGTAGTTAGAGCCGAATCTCAATTGGTTGCTATTCAAACTCGAGCTTCACAATGACAGGGACAACCATGGGCTATATGAGACCGAGAAGCATCTCTAGCTTAATCTGGCTAATCTCAAGGCTTCTAAAAAATGTTCTTTGGCCGTAAACTAAAGTGTAAGTTCCTCAAAGATTGTGATAAAGGAACGAGCTTCTTTCATTGTCTAATGAATCAAAAGCACAAGGTTAATCACGTTACAGTACCTTTACAAAGTGCAATGGGAAGCTCACTACCTCTATTGAAGAAGTTGGTGAGGAGTTTGTCTCCTATTATCAAAGCCTACTCGATATCGCTAAAGGTAGGGTCTCCCTAGACCCGAGTGTAATTGCTAATGGGCCTACCTTACAATTGGATGCACCATGCCATGCCGTTTGCCCCGATTTCGCATGATACCATCAAGAAGACCTTCCTTAGTATAGATAGTGATAAAGCACCGGGTCCCGATGGGTTTTCTTCTTTTTTTCAACCAAGCATGGGATATCATCGAGAATGACTTCGTGCGTAGTTAAGGATTTCTTTAGGTGTGGGAAACTTTTGCAATAGGTTAGTCACTCAATCATAGCTCTAAGTGCCCAAGCCGGCCAATGCTACTCTACCTAGTGACTACCAACCAATAGCCTTGTTGTAATGTCGTTTATAAAGTAATCTCTAATATCCTCTCCTCCAGATTGTCCTTGGCCCTTTCGGATATTGTAAGCCCTTTCCAAAATACCTTCTTGGCGAGATGAAAAATGTTTGATAATATTTGCTTGGTTCGTGAATTGCTTCGCATGTATGGCCGAAGAGAGCCTCTCCTCGTTGCCTAATGAAGATTGACTTTCACAAAGCCTATGACTCAAAGGTAACGGGGTTTCCTTAAACAAATTCTATTACAAGCTTGGGTTTCCCGGACAGCATTTGTGGGGTGGATTTATTCTTATATCGAGTCAAGCATCGTACTCCATTTTGATTAATCTGGGGTTTGTTTAGCTTCTTCTAAGGTAAAGCAAGGGTTAGACAAGGAGATCCACTCTCTCCCTACCTTTTTGTGGTTTGCATGGAATACTTCTCCCCGGCTTATACAAAAAGCAACATGTAAAACTCAAATTTCCATTTCCACCCAAAATGCGAGGCTCAAGCCATATCTCACCTTGCTTTTGCAGATGATGTCTTGCTACTCGTCATGGGGATATTGCTTCAATCTGAATTCC